CCCCCCCCCCCCACAGCCGTACCAGTTGGCCATCGTTGATGGGGTGGGAACAATGTTCCGTCCTCTCCAGGACGTGCGGAATGGTCTAACCGCTGAGGCATGCAAAACATGATAGTACGCCTCCCTTCCCCCACCCCCCACTGCTGTACCTCGCTCCACACTAAGGGAATATGTATCTCACCTTCAGGAACATGGCGTAGATGGTCTCGATCGAGAAGGCGTACATGAGCAGGAACCCATTCCCGACCAGAAGCATGACGGCCCGGGGGATAACGTCCCCCCGCCCGACGTCACCGCCACCGTTCGCCGCCCTAGCGGCCGACCTTTCCGTCGTAGCAGACGTAGGCCTCCTCATCATCCCCGGCTCGTCCACGAACGCTGCTCCGTAGGCGCCATCGCCTCCGTGTTCGTCGTAGAGGGTCATGGCGTCTTCCGACGACGTTGTGTCGGCGAAAGCGTCCGAGTCTGCTGCCCCGTACCGGTCGACCCCCTCCCCTTCGCACCGCCGCCGCCGCCCGCCCGCCTCGAGGGCGCCCTCGCGTCGCTCCCTCGCCCTGGCCTCCGCCTCTCCTCCTCCTGCTACGGTTACCCGTTTTTTCCACATCTGCGACAACCCCGTTTCCCCCGACTTGGTCTCCTCGATCTTGAACATGGCGTAGAAGAGGCCCACCAGGGGGAACAGGGCAGCCGCGTAGAAGGTGTCGGCGGTGGACACCTTGAACAGCCGGTGGAGGATGGTCATCGTCATGGGGCCCAGAACGAAGCCCAGCCCCACGCACGCCTGGATCCGGCCCAGAAACTTGGGCAGGGATTGCACCGGAACCTTCCGGGGAGGGGGGCAGAAGGGGGGGGTGTACTCATTAGTTGCGCATGCCGTAGTCGTTAGACCATTGACACCCCATCCCTAAAAAAGCCGGGACGAGTAGACATACACATTACCTGTTGGCGTTTCCAAGATGCGCGCTACGTGATTATACAAGTGGCAAATAGAAGGCTCGGAGGCGGAGCAACACTAGGTGCAATGAGCACGTGACACCCAACACAGAGGGGCCGGCAGAAAAGGCGGGGGGTGGGGGGGGGCAGCACATGTGGAGCAGCGGCGGCCAGAGAGTTTTGACTGTTGTTCTTGGCAATAATTGATTAGATGCAAAACAACCCCATCCAAAGGCGCGGGGGGGGGGGGGGGGG